GAACGCAATAGTTCCTAGAAATATTATAGTGCCCGAAACGCGAACAGACTCTTCCATCCGGGCGCAAACAAAGAAGTTCTTTTTTATATCTTCAGTCGTCAATAGAAATCGTGAGGGCAATAAAGTTTACAGTCTTTTCACACGAGATAGCGATTGAAGCTTGTGCAAGCTCAGCACAGTCGCCGTTTGTGGATCGAGCTTTTCATAAGGGACCAGCCGTAAATTTTGCGTCCGTTTGATTAGTATCGACGGCACAGGGGAATGCTTTGTCGTTTGTATCGGTTAAATTTCATTCTGTAGGTGAAATTGTTTACAGCGATGGTCGGTGAATATTGGGATATTGTTTATCTCTTCGACAAGGCTTTCGATGAATTCGAAGCACACCCGTGACGTAACGAAGCGCAATTCGACGATATTTGGCCAACGTAGTTTTTTTCGATTGATTCAAAGGCTGAACGTATAATGTCGATCTGGAGCGAAATGGTTATTGCGGTTGGGTGCTGATTGTTTAGTTGATGTATTTGCATTAGGTGTTATGGTGACATTTCAATTTTATAGAGTATCCCAGAAAAATGTACTAATTTTTTAGGGACACATTACTAAATTAGCAGAAATGTGAAAACAACTTGCAAAGAAGATTAATTCTTTGTATTCGAAAGGTGACACTCACTATTTAATTTAATATAACAATTTGGAATAAATACTTTTTAATTAAATCTGTAGTATTATATACAAGATGTACAAACATAGTAAAAGAGACATTAGTAATAATTAATAATAAAGAAATAGTAATCTTACAGCTGTTTATTAACATAGAGAAGATAATTTTATACAAGAGAGAGTACTGTATGAAATAATAATTTTGTATTACGTACAAGATTGAAATCATTTTTTGGTTTAATAATACAAATTTAGAAGCGTCTTTACTTGAACAGATCTAATAAATAATTAAATATAACAATAGCAATAAAAGGAAATTATGGAATAATGAAATAATAAAATAGTAAAATAACACAATAACGGAATAGTACAACACTGAAGTAGTATAATGGTAAAATAGCAAAATGGAAAATGATAAAATGATTAAGTGGTAGAAATGCTTACATGGTAAAATAATGAAATAACAAAATAAAAAATGATAAAATTATTAAGTAGTGAAAGCATTTACATAGTAAAATAAAAAGATAATAAAATCACAAAATGATAAAATAGTAAATACATAAAATACGATAATTAAAATCAGAATAATGAAGTAACACAACGTTAGAATTGCAGAGTAATAAGATAATTCAATGATAAAATGATAAGATAGAATAATAGTACAATAATAATCTGGTAAAATGGCATCATTGTAGATCAACAAAATAGTAAATTGACAGAGAAAGTATAAAAGAATAATAATAAAGTGGTCAAATGGTCAAATGATGATATAGTAGAATTATAAAACAGTGGAACAATGGAGTAGTAAATTAATCGAAGATCAAAGTAGAATACAAAATAATAAAATTATAATAAAATAAAGGTGCAAATAATAAAATAGTCAAACAGTGAAGTAGTAGAATAGTAAAAAGTAAAATAGTAAAAAACGAAATACTAAAATATTAGAAAGCTAAAGCAAAGAAAGTAGAAAAGAATAATATTAAAATAACAAAATAATAAAATAATGAAATAATCATATAGTAATATAGTAAATGGCAAAATAATAAAATACTGAGGTAATAAAGTCTTCGTATAAGAATAGCGACCGTCCTTCTAAAAGAATATGCGCCAGAAAAAATAACAGTAATTAAAAAGACATTGATATACTGAAAAAGTGAAATAATGTAATATAAATAATAATCTGTAATAATATAGTAACCTTTAAAATCAAGATAATTTAACTTGGCAATTTTTGTTTCTGAACCGATTAATTTCATTCAGAACCACGTTGCTCTCCCTCAGTTCGACCGGCTTTTTACGATCTACCCTTGCTGTACATTCTTCTTTTTTTACCGAAGGGTTTCTGAAATAAAAAACGGACGAACTCTAATGGATTCCATCAGGCTGGATAAATTTCCCTCGAACCTCATCGCTCTTGAAGATTCTTCATTATTTTGCAATCACTTATTACGAACACTCTCTATCGTACTCGGAAAGATGCGCCAGCCGACAATCTATCGCTACTTTCGATCTCTCCTAACAGTTTTTCACAAGGGAAATACCTGGGAAACTGCGTGAAATTTCCTTCACTCGGATAGTTTGTGATCTTCACTGACAGATAGGTTCCTTTATAAAATGTGTTCCTCGAGAAAATCATCTTTCTCTTTTAAATTTTTTACTCGAACGTGATCAAATTTGGATTACTAATTGCTAACGTTTGCGACTTTTAATTAAATTATACGGTCTATCTATATCTGTGTAAATTTACTTTCAATTATTATTCAGTTCATCTAAATCTATTCACATCTATTTGCAATTATTATTTGATTTCGGTAAATTTACCTGAAATCTATTGTTAATTACATTTTAATTTACCTGAATCCATTTACATAATTTGCAATCATTCTATTTAGAATTTAAATCTATTTTCAATGATTATTCAGTTCACCTAAATTTACTGACAATTACTATTTACTTCATCTAAATCTATCTACCTCTGATTGTTACTATTATCTAGTTTATATGTATAAATCTATCTTCATCTATTTGAAATTATTTTTCACTTTATATAAATTTAACTAAATCGACTTTAAATTATTATTCAGTTTGCCTAATAAAAGGCAAACTTCGTATTAAATTAATTTAGCAAATATTAAAATTTATTAAATAAAAATATGCACTGATAATTATTTTAAAATAAATATTTTCAAATATAATGTTCTTAATATTTTCAATTTTTAAGAACAAAAAATTAGTTAAATTATAATATAAATTTATTACTAACATTTTTAAATAAATTTATCAATTGTCTTGATAAAACTTTAATAGAAATTTGAATCAATACGGGACACTCCGAAAACTTAAATTAAAGAATTTTATTTGAAATGTTAATTAAAACAATGAAAAAATTTCTTGAACCGTTAAAATGAGAGAAGAGGACGGGAAGGAACACACGGAGAAGAAGAAATAATAAGAAATCGAAATAAAACGAGAGAAAAGAAAGAAATAACTCGACGGCTTACAGAATGGAAGTTTCCAGCCGTTTGTTTTATTGCTCCCTTAAGGCAGAAATCGTCGCCGCTTAATTACAGCTTTCTGCTAATTAAGACGACTACGATGTTATTGATTCTTCATTGTTTTTTTTAAGAGGAAAATACAATATTTATAGTAGCACTGATTAATTATAGAAATAACAATAAGCATCTTAATGCAAAATTTTTGAATTGTGAAGCTCCCAAAATTTTCTAGTTTACAAATGGACAGATTTTAAAATTTCTAACATTATTAAATTATTATATTTTTTAACTTTGAAATTTCTAAACTGTAAAATTATTTAAAACTATATAAAAGACTAGTACAACTCTCCACCCACATTATCTGAATTAAAACGAATTGCAGATATTTAGAAAAATAATGAAGATTTAAGAAAATATGAAAACAAAAGGTAAAAGCAAAGGGTAAAAACACGTAATATTAGCATGTGTTAACAATGTTATGTACAATAACAGTATATCATATTAATAGTTAATAAATTATATCACAATTTAAACAGACCTTTTAATTTTACAAAGAACATGAAAAATGCTGAAAATTTTTAGTGGTCAGACCAGGCACTGTATTTACAAGTAAACATTAATTAACGACAATAATTCCTAGCTATTCCTAATTACCCAAAATACACTCGACTTAACAGCAATCTTTTTTTTTTAAACGCATTCTTGTACAATCGCTGCATGCATTTAATCTCAAGCTGCGGGCAAAGAGAGGCGGTAAACAAATCCGCGAAACCGGGAGCCAGCGTTTTAGCTAAACTTTTGTCGTCACCGTAACAATTGCGGCTATTCATTGCGTTCCCCGGCATCGTGGTTTCTGCCCGAAAAAAAGCGAAGCCGCGGTCGTCGGAGAAAACGCGAGGAGGAAGAAGAAAACGGTACGGTCCACCCGTTATAAAACATTCCAACGTCACCGAGCTTGCTTGAGTTTCACGAGCTGGCCGGCTGTTTTTGTTTTCAACATTGATCCTGCCAGACACCGCTCCTCTCCCGTTCTTCCCGTTTCTCCCACTCAAAACCGCTTTTGTTGGATGCAAGCATAAGGGACCTTATACGGGTTTCTTTGAACAAATTTGGCATAAGGTAGCTCGTTTCGAGCTTTCCGTTTTCGACCAATTGAAATTTTAGATTTATTTCAAAGTTGGGTATTATATTGCATATTTGATGTGGACGGTGTTTCATAGTTTTAATGGGTACTCGGACTGTCTTGGAAGATGCAGATGACTTCTGTTGCATAGATACATAAATTCTATGGAATAAATAATTCAGAAAATAATTTGGGTAAAAATATATTTTTGAATTTATTCCTAGATTCATAAATTTACTCCCAAAACTCCCTAAATGTTGAAATCTTCAAATTTCTAAATTCAGTAGTTCATAATTCCAAAAATTTAAAAATCATATAATCTAAAGCCAACAAGTGAAAGATCCTTCTTACAAATATATATTTTAATGCATATATTATTCGGGATAAATAATGTTATACATTGTAACTTGACACAACAGTAATTACTCTCTATCTCCACATTTATTTATTACATACATTACTACCATCATCAGCATTTACCTCTAAAAAATTTCAAATCTCAACCCTTAAATTTTTAAGTCAATAATCGCTAAAAATATCAAGTTACCCTCGAAATTTTGCCAAAGTCAGCTCGTCACTCGACAAGCTACGAACGAACCTAGCCTTCCAAGCGTGCAGCATGCACGATCACGTACGCTTCGACCCTTTCACACTCTACAGAGATACTCTGGATCCCGCTGTGTCGTCCGCAATCAATTAAACAATTCTCTATTTCATTTCAGGCTCTGGTGTATCGAGACGGGAACCTGGTCTCGGGTTCGTTGGAAGCCCTGGTGCAACACATGGTACCAACCGAGGAATATTATCCCGATCGGGCATACCTGTTCGCCTTTTTGCTGAGTGCCAGACTCTTCATCAAGCCTCACGAGCTTCTGGGTGAAGTCTGCGCCCTCTGCGAGCATCAGCAAAACCTGAATGGAGAGGGTGGCAAGGTGGGTCCCACAAAAGCATTCGTCAAGAGCGACAGAGAGAGCCAGATCCTTCCGGGTGTGCACTTTACGGCCACCTCGTGTATTATCGTTTCATCGTCTCCCAGTCTCAACCCCCTTTTGCATTCACCCCCTCGAAGTGAATCTACCCCCTTGCACGCTCGTTCTCGTTCCGTGTTATAATAACGAGCACGCGTATCCAGGCCAGAAAAGTCTCGCTTGCAAATGAATTCCTATCTGCCTTCTCTGTCTTCTCTCCTCTTTTTTGTTTTTAATCTAAAACCTGCATCATTTTGGAGCTTTCCTCTTTTGGTTTTCTACGCAGTTTCCTGGGTTTTAATCGATTTGAACTGTGCGTGCTTCAAGTGTTTTCATTTGGGTCATTTGGTGAAGGGGTTTTAAGTGGAAGTAGGTTAGGTTTACGTTGGGTACTATTAAGTTAGGTCAACTTAAATTATATTAGGTATGGTTAAGTTAGAATAGGTTAAAGGTTCGGTTGAGATAGGGTACGTTAAATTAGATTAGCTAGGGTAAGTTAAGTTGGATTTGATATTTGGTGAAATTAGTATAAATATAATTAAATTAGGAGAACTTAAATTACATTGGTTGAGATTACAATAGTTACGGTTGAAGATAAGCTTAAGGTTAAGTACATTAAGTTAGTTTGCACAAGAGTAATTTAGAACAAGATATAGATTATATTAAACCAGAATAGATACGTCAATTTAGGTTAGGTTAAAGCTGATTTAAATTTCAATTGGACAATGTTAAATCAAGTCTAGCGTAGCTGAAGTAGGTGTAGGGACATCTATCATCACAAAATATAAGAAATTTATCTCTTAGTGCTCACCAATATTTTTAAATGTACTAAAATGCATACAATACTTGGCAGTAACACAAAAATGCCTTGCCTCACTTTTAAAATAAACGGCTTATATGTCCGTATGGGACATCACAATGAAGGATGCACGAGTGAAAAAGTTATCCGGATCTGCATGACGTGTTCTAGGAACGTCTACAGCGTTTCGTACCGCGACTGGTACAGTTGCTAGCCGAATGGACAGAAACATTCCCGTACGACTTCCGGGACGAGAGGGTGATGGGTCACGTCAGGTCCATCACGCAGAAGGTCGCTGCGGTCGACGCTGCGGCCAGGCTGGAAGTTTCGGCACTGCTGCAAAACTTGCTGCTTAGACTGACGGCTCTGGAGAGGTATGAGGAGGGCCTTGCCAGACTTGCTACCGAGGCTGCGACAGACCAGCTTACACAGGTTCGTAAATACTCTGCATTATCACTGTCTAACTAGTACCTAATCCTCTTTTGCATTTTGCTACTTGTTCTGTTCTAACAACTCCGCCATCTTTGAACCACCGATTTTGTTGAAACTTCGCACAGTTACAGAGTACATGAAAAGTAGTCATTTTATGAAACATGCAACTCTAAAGAGTAAGGCAGAAATTTACAGTTTAAAGTTGAAGTAAATATCATTCGTAATAAAATGTCTTCTTGAAAGTCATCGCAATATCTCGTTGTTAATAACACGAGATTTGACTTTAATTCCGTGAATGAATCAAATATTTAGTGGTTCCTTGCTGTGGGACATTCGTTGAACATTGTGTAAATGTTTGCACAAAGTTGCACAGAGAAACGGATCTGTGTATGTTAGAAAGTGTATCGATACAAGTACAAAGGATGCAAGAGAGCTATTCAAATAGAACAAGAGTATCCTGTTAGGCGAACGGATTTGGTGTACGAAACTAACGGAAGACGGTCACGGCAAATACCATGGACAAAATATTATCGGTTCATTATACTGGATGTTCTCGGAGGTTTTAGCGTGTTACTGTTGCAGCAAATCGAATGATGGTTATCGAACTCGGTAAACATTATCAAACTTATTCGTTAAATACATGAATACATAGATTAATGCTGCTATCTCGATTAAAATAAAGAGAACTAAATAGGTATACGGGAACTTTATGTCTGGTTTTGTGTTTATTATTAAATTTGGTAGTAAATGTTAAGTGAGTTTATTGTATCGATGGAAAATTTGATTATACTTTATACTCAATTTTAATTACTTAATTACTTTTGCAACTTACAAATTTGCAAGTTCTAAAACTTTTTAATTTCACATTTCTTATATTCCTCATGTTTGTAAATTTTTATATCTCCATATTTTCCACTTTTAATATACTAAATATCTTTGTCCCCACATTTCCGTATTCCCAAATACACTATATTTTCCATGTTTGTTTGCCATATTGCCAAATCTCTATGTTTACAAATTCTGAAATGTATCAGTTCCATAAATTTGATTTCAATTTTGGCGCACGCCTTCGGTTGGTCTTGACTGCTCTAATCATTTGCCCCGAGCACTGACATTACACTGAACGCTCGTACCAGCAAATCCAAATCTGATAATCTCCCGGGATGCCTGACGCCACGTCAGCCATTACTGATTCAGTTTGAGTGCATTTTCCGCGTCCCTGTGTTTCGCTGTTGCATCCACATCGCGTCGATGGAACTAAAATAGCTTCCTTTTCCCATATCAACCAGTCCCTGCGTACGAATTCGATTTTCCGGCCACGTTCTTCCCTTTGACAGACATTTCAATATTTTGCCGCGACGCGACAACATTCTCGAAGGATCCACGTGGATTTCATCTATCGCGGCTCGTGCTTCTGTTTGTACATGTTATTCGTACGATGCGATACGGTGCCGGCTGTGTGTCACACGTAACAGATATACTATCCACCCCGTTCGGATCTGTGCATAGATTCGAAACGCGTGCACTTTGTGCAGTTAGGCTAACAGGGTTATGCAGTTTCCCGACACGGGAGACAGTAACTATTCCATTTAATTTGATTACCTGGCGCACGCCTATCCGCCGCCGCGTGTAACACCTACTAATAGCTAATTTGCAACTGCATTAGTTAGTTAAATATGTCGGCGCATCGTGCACGGGCTAATCAGGACGGAATTGCGTGAGCGTAGACCGCTACAAGCATCATCGATGATCGTACGCGGCCCGGAGAAATTACCGCGTACACCCGATTGTTTCGTTGTGTGGCTGTCGTATCACAACGGAAACCCGTTTCGGATACCATTGCCGCAGATACACGGTTATGTTAACGTTCGTTCGATATGTCTCCATTTTCGACGATAATATTCTGATCTAAGGGAAACACGATTATCCGGTTACAATTAGTACTGTGTAATATTTGATACTCCTGCGTGTATAGATTCTTATGGGGCTGTATTTTGTGAGCATGATACTCTGATCTATGATACTTTGAACTCTTGTAAACTCGCGGTATATTGCCAGGAATTATGTAGGAATGGAAAATCTCTTGATATTGACCATATAGGGAAAATGTGAGTGTGTTTTATAAAAATGGTGCTCTGATGCTGTATAATATTTTAGAATTTTAATATAATAGACTCCCGTTATATTGCCGCAAATTAGACTGTCCGGTTGGGAAGTCTCTTGACGCTTGATAGTTACATCTTTGAATTTTAAAATAGTAGACTCTTGTTATATTGCAATGGACGGCGCTGTCGAGGTGCACAATCTTTCGAAATTGGCACTATAGAAAAGATGCTTTCTGGTGACCAAATAATGAAAAGTAAATTTAACGCGTGGTAATTAAATTTGCAGCAATTTAAAGCGTGCATAACGTGGAATAATATTATGCATGGTAATATAATATATTGCAATATAACGCGTGGCTATATCGCATGTAACTGTTTAACGTACATGAATATAACGTGTGGCAATGTAACACATTACAATATAACCTTTGGTTTCATTACGTGTGGCTATAGAACGCATGATTAGTGTGAACATTATATATGGCAATACGAGGTGTGTCCCAAAAGTAACGAGACTGGTCCAATAAATCATTGTACATGTAGAATCAGTTCTCCGTGACATTATCACCTTCAAAGTAGACTCTTTCAGCATTCATACACTTATGCATTCGGCGCTGCCATTGCTGGTAACAATTCTGGAACGAGGTTTTTGGAAGACCTTTCGGAAGATTCTCCGTTTTTGCCTAAACTTCTTCAACTGAGGTGAAATGGATTCCCTTTAAGCAAAATTTAACTTTAGAAAATAGAAAAAAGTCGCATGCAGCCAAAACAGGTGAATAAGGAGGATGCCCCATCACAGTAATATTTTTACTGGTTAGAAACTGCTTGACAGATAGTGTCGTGTGAGCGGGTGCATCGTCCTGTTGCAACAGCCATCCATCTGTGGCCTTTTTTTCCTAATTTTTTCACTAAATCTTTTTAGTACATCAATGTAATAGTGTTGGTTAACAGTCTGATCACTGGAAAACCACTCAATCATTACAATTCCATTAATGTCGAATTTTGATTTTGACATGCGTGCTTTCTTGGGTTTTGGGGATCCTGAAGATTTCCACTGCATCGACTGGCGCTTACTTTGCGGGTCATAGGTAAAAATCCATGTCTCATCACATGTTACAACAGATTTCAACAAATTTTACAAGAAACTTGATGTTTATTCGCTGTTCGGTTTTTGCGTTAGAAATTTTTCCGGCAGAATGCAGTTACACGTGTTCACTAAATAACGCAATACTTCCAAATGGTATGATCGATTCAATCGAAATTGGCAACATGGATAGAGGAAGTATGTGGAATGATGCCACAAAAACAATTGCTAAGGAGGGATGTGGGATGATGCCACAAAAACAATTGCTGCCAATTCTATTGTTTTTTCAAGATACACACCGAGTCTCGTTACTTTTGGGTCACACCTCGTATAATGCATTACAACTTAATTTATAGTTATATATGCTGTGGCTTTGTATCACGTGGCTCCACAATTCATACAAATATAACACATGAAAATCTCTTTCATAGCTGTTTAATACGCGGCAAGTAAACATCTGGTAATTTTGACATAAACTTCTTATGCAATACATTGTGATATACATGTAACACGAGGCAGTGTAACAATGAATGATAAGACCATTATTTCAAGCATTTATAATCCTTGAAAAGTTTTATCATGTATGTACAATCTTCTTCGCCATTTTTAGTAGAAATTTCAATGATACTCCAGCAGTTATTTAATTTTTCTGCGCTGACATTCTAGATGATATGTCTGTTGCATAAAATGCTCTTGATATTCATAAACGATACATTTACTTGCGTTAATTATTTCTAGGAACCTTTTTATGTGAAAGCTGTTCACGAACATGAAAGATCTTTCATCTTTTCGACGAAGTAGAATTAAATGCATATTTCATTTCAAACGAATGAATAATAGTACCATCCTTTATGATCAAAGGAAGATAAATTTCCTGTAGCATAATAAATAATTTCCTCGTCTAAACCTGGATAAAATTGCCGCATTGCCTATCAGTATTTTACGGAAATTATGGGAAGCGTTTCGTTTAAACTGCAATTTCAATATTCCTCCTTTTTCAATATTATCATTTTGTAAGTTGCTTCTTTGATTTAGTGAAAATTGCCAGGGGATCATACCCCCCTTTTTTTTTAAAGAAGAGCTTACATTCGTTTTGCAAACTAAGAGGAAATTGAAGCTTACGCTGGAGATGAGAAACATCGTGTTCGTTCGTGATACATCTTCAAAGTGCTTATAGCGTAACAAATATGAAAACTACACAACAAAATAAACAGTAAATGATAATTATACCAAAACAATGACAAAATGTGGTCTAGAAAATTATAAATCTAAGATCAACACTTTGAGAACAAAATTTTTAAACCTTCATATTTTCAAGTTGTAAAATCTTCATGTTCACAAGTTTGTGAATTCTCAAGTATTCAAGTTTTCAAGTATTCAAGTTTTCAAGTATTCAAGTATTCAAGTATTCAAGTATTCAAGTATTCAAGTATTCAAGTATTCAAGTATTCAAGTATTCCAGTATTCCAGTATTCCAGTATTCCAGTATTCAAGTGTTCAAGTATTCAAGTATTCAAATATTCCAGTATTCAAGTATTCAAGTTTGCAAGTTTTCAAATTTGCATGCTTTCTAATTTTCAAAATTTTTTAAGTTCCTCTGAAACTTGTAACAAAATTCCTGTTCCCAAATTTTTTGTATTACAATTTCTGAAAATTCTTACATCTTCAAATCAATTATCAAATCGTAAACGAATAAATTAATTTATATACATAGTTGGAATTTTTTGAGCTTCTTTTACTTAATGAATGAAAAATCAAGCGCTGAAAGGGTACTATCGCTGTACAGAATATTTTTACCTGTACACGATGAC